CTTCCAGAAGTACTCTCGTGGACATTTTGTTTTTTCTTGCCAAACAAAAACGTTGTTGTTATCTTTGTAAATATATTAGGTTGTCCCAAAAGTTTGTAAACACTTGCAAAAAATTGAAATTTTACTCGCCAAGTAATAACAAATACAACAAAAATTAATAAAGATCATCATTTTCCAAGACTTTCTGCCATCGATCTGCAAGCTTTCGGATCTGGTGAAAGTACCATTCAGCCGGCTTCGAATCAAAGAATTCTTGACACGCTTCCTCGACTTCATCAAACGAGTCGAATCGGCGGCCCTTCAAAAAGTGTTACATTGAGCGGAAAAGGACGTAATCTGATGGAGCACAGTCAGGACTGTAGGCTGGATGTGGCAGAACCTCAACGCTGTCCAGCTCTTCAAACTTGTCTTTGGTCTTCCTGGCGGTGTGTGGCTTGGCATTGTCCTGCTGCATCAAAGCGCGCTTTCGGTTGATCAGAGCCGGGTACTTTTGCTTCAACTTTTCGTAGACCCGCTCCAGTTGCTGACAGTAAAGTTCGGCACTGATGGCACGACCATTCGGAACCAACTCAAAATGCACGATTCCTTCAAAGTTCCACCAAACGCACAACATGACTTTCTTGCCGAATCGATCTTATTTTGAAACCGACGGTGTCTCTTGCCCTTTCTGAACCCATCGTTTGTCTCGATTGTGCTGGATTGTGTTGCATAAAAATTCAATTTTTCGCAAGTGTTTACGAACTTTTGGGACAACCTAATATATATATTTTTCGTTAAATTCTCTTCTTGTCAATGATATTCGTTTTCTCTATACTATTTTATTCGGGTTCAGAGCGACTCATCACCACCAATTCTACGCCACTGATTCAATACCGCCGACTCAACGCAATGTAAATAATTAATAATTAATTAATTATTATTATTAATAATTAATTATTATTCATTATTATTTCCGCGTGGTGGACCTAAGATGGAAAAAAGACGAGCACGCTGTCTATTCTTTTTTTGTATCGTCTTGGCTGAGGAGGAAGTGACGTAAGTCGTTAATGATTGGTCACTTGCAATTTCAAGATCAGCAGTGGTAGTTTGTTGCATGCTTGGCGGATTTTTTGCTTCAGGATTGCCTGCCGGAATAGTAGTGTTTCGGTAGGCTCTCTTGGGCGAACAAGTATGGTGTTGCAAGTCCCGAAATTTGTCATGACCGCCAAGTCATAACATCACTGACGAAGCGGTCCTGTGCACTCGTTGGAGTGTTTTCATGACAATTGGTCATTTTTAAAACATAACTTTTTAAGTAATTTACTAAGGATAATTTTTAATACATGACTTTATTTTTAATTTAATAAAAAAGACACGACACGGAATCAGTTTTCCACACTGCAGATTTAGCATTGCATTCAGCTGTTGGCCATTCTCTAAAACTATATGTCCACTTTCTCATAGATGAATAAAGTAGTATAAATATCAGATTGTACTGGATATAAAAAAGGATCCATTGTCCTATATGTATTAGATATATATATATATATTAGATATTAATTAATAAATTAAGTAATATGCGTTGATATAATAATTGGAAAACTATAAAGACCCATATGTTAAAATATTTTCATCACCATCACCGTCATCATCATTATCAGAGACTCGACAGCTTCAATCGTCGATGGTGGGGACCTGAAGGTTGAAGAGAGAAACTTTGATTCCACCTTTTCAGGATACTTTCACTTGATTTTCAGATAGCATGTTGTGGCCCATATCCTTTTCAAGCACTTGACCGACCGCGGAAGAGCACTGAATAGGGTGACAGCCACCCTTGGTTCGCATATTAATCCCTCAGGCTTTAAATTGAAAGTTGTCCGTCTCCTACACTGGTAGCATCCAGTCTGTCCTGCTATTTATCCATAGATCGGAGTTGGGGTGGGGAATGGATTTATACCTTTCCAATTATAAATAGCACATTTTCGGCGTCATGAGAATAATAATAATAATAATAATAATGCCGAATTGAATTCACAAAACAAAATATCAACCATAAACACTATGGCTATCTCTGTGATGCAATACAATTTCAAAAACCTTAACTGGACCATAGATGACATTAAACGAATGGCTGTAAAAACGAGGAAGTTTCTCACTTGCCACCACATGCATCATTCTAAAGCTGGTCTTGACTGCTTGTATGTGTCCAGATCCGAAGGAGGCAGAGGATTAGTTCAACTAGAACTGTCTTAAAAAACGACAACAGTTGTCTTTCAAAGATACTATTTAAACTACAGAAGACATAATGATGATCTATGTCAAAGAACATGAAAGAAATGATAAACCTTTATTCAGTAATAAAGGCGGTCAACAAATTCAAAAGTGAATTTCAAGTGGGTGAAGAAGAGCAAATAGACCATAATACATCTACTGCGGCCGTAAAGGGCCTAAAAAAGAATGCAAAAACAAATGCAAATGCAGTAAAGATAGCAAGATAAGCCTCTTTATGGTCAATACTCTGCCCGAATCAAACAAGCTGATGTAGACAAACATCGTACCCATCAGTTGTTACGTAGTTCAGGGTTAAAAGCTAAAAGCGAAGTTTTATTTTTGTTGCAAAGGACCAATGCTTGCTAAGTAAAAATTACCAAGCACACACACTTGTAGAATAACAATAATAAACAGCACTTACCGGCGTAAAGGTCCCAGCTAGCGTCCAGCTGGCAGACAAAAATAAAGCAGGTTGTAACTTAATACAAACCCTGCAAACTAACTGATGAATCAAGCTGGTATTTATATAGAAATACCTCCACTCAGGTACCAGCAGCCAATCACAGCCCAAGCAATGGACTATTCCACTTTAGCACAATGAGATGCTCCATGGCACCATGAATAGCTCTCTTTCTAAAGGTTGGATTAGTATTCACTTAGCTTGCTCCACAACTCAGTGTTTATCTCTACCACGTGATTTTTCTACAACACTGTAAACTTGTGTTAACCCGAAATGCAGATTCTGTGATAAATATCCAGAAACAATTGACCATCTTGTATCAGGTTACACCAAATATAAAACATGGCATGAGAGATGGGCCAATATCTGCACTGTGAAATATGTAAGTTTTATTGAAGGCCACCTGCAAGAAAGTGATATGAACACAATCCAGACACGGTTACGAAGGTAGGACCTGTAACATTTTTATGGGATTTTATAATCCGAACAGACAGGACAATCCAAACGAATTGCCCAGACATCTTGCTAAAAGACCACAAAAACAGAATGTGCTTTCTTATTAACATGGCAGTCCCTGCAGACAGTAATGTAAAGTTGAAGATCTTCATAAAACTATCAAAATACGAGGAACTTGAAGGGGGAAATCTGAAATATGTAGCACATAAAGATATTAGTAATTCCAGTTGTAGTTGAAGCACACGGATTGATTGCAAAATAGATGCCATGTAGAACGTGCCTTAAAGATAAAAAAAAATGCTCACAAGTTCAGTACACACCTTACGAAGAGGTTTATCTATGTAAAATGTCTGTGATCTTAGGTTGTCTAATTTTTCTTTACTTTTTTTTTTTACTAAAACTTTCAGTGGAAAATTTTTATGGAGCCATACCTAACATTATGTCTCTGGTTGGGACCCAGAAAGAAAAGAGTATACAAGAGAAATTAAACGAAATAAAGTAATAATAATAATAATAATAATTATTATTATAATATTAATGGGAAGAAGAAGATGATGGTGAATAGGATGGAGAAGTAGAAAATGAAGATGAGGATAAAGAAGAAGGAAAAGGCAGAGCGGAATAATAATAATAATAATTATAATAATAATAAAAATAATAATAATAATAATGGGAATAGGAAGATGATGGTGAATAGGATGGAGAAGTAGAAAATGAAGAAGATGAGAATAAAGAAGAAGGAAAAGGATGGAGAAGGAAAATGAATAATAATAATAATAATAATAATAATAATAATGGGAAGAAGAAGATAATGGTGAATAGGATGGAGAAGAAAATGAAGATAGGATGAATAATAATAATAATAATAATAATAAAATGGAAGCAGAAGATGAGGATAAGAAGAAGGAAAAGGCAGAGGGAAAAGGCAGAGGGAATAATAATAATTCTGTAATAATAAGCAGTCAGTTATGTGCCATGTTTTGATACACGCTTAGGCGATCATATATCTTTCGATACATGGCAGGCAGATTTTTCCCGCAGTAGGCTCCCATTTCTTTCTGCGGTAGACCAGTTGCTATCCAAGGCTATAGAACCCAGCCATTTACTCATAGCTGGGGAGAGAAGAAAAAGATTCATACCTTTCCCAAGGATATCAGCACGTAAGTGAATGCACGGTGGAATAATGGATAGCGGCTCAGACTGAGGAATCAGAGATCTGAGTTCGAATTCCACTCGACTCCATTACATTCACTTAAGTGCTAATAACCTTGGAAAATGTATGAATCCTCTTCTTTTTCCCCCAGCTATGGGTAAATGACAGGACAGACCGGGTTCTATAGTCTTGGATGGCAACTGGTCTACAGCAGAAAGAAATAGCAAACTACTGCCTCGTCGGTCATGTATCGAAAGATACATAATTTCGTATGGATTGGCGGGAAACAGTGTTAACCACAGGACCTTATCAGATAACAGAAGGGACGTCACTTAAAGCCTGACAATAGCAAATATAACTCGAAGAGAAAATAATGACTTTCCATTCTATATCAAACAAAAGTTTAAGGAGGACCCACACTTTGCCTTCAATACTGGAACGATCAATAACATCTACTGGACTTGAGAGACTTATTTTGTTGAAAAATTATTTTAAGAGAAATATTTTATAAATTTCAACCGACAATCGTACTGGGTACTCGCTCAAAGAATATCAAACTTTTCCTTATAATAAAACGGCTATTATTACCATTGTTATCATTAAAATTCCCAAGTTAAAACTGAATCCCACATCCGCTTCAGCGTCGATTGAATATCGTCTGCTTTTGTTTGTAAACAGGCAATGCGAATTACGATCTGTTTTTTTTCTTCAGACCATTATACCAGCTACATTTTTCTTTATACGTTTTTTTTTTCTTCATACGCTATTTCTCGACTACATAACCAAATTATGGAATTTTCGGTGCGTAAGAAACTACTGGATGTTTGAAAAACACTTGAAATATTTTCTTTCAGTCCTTCATTTTTTTTCTTCATTCTTTGGTTTACATCCATTAATAATTCGTTGATTTTTTCCCCCTGTTTTTTCTAGATATTTTTAATTACATATTTTTTTTTACTTAGTAGTGTTCAGTTACTCGTTTTGTCTTGACCGTGACGTAGTTCTTTAGAATTCACTTTCTTTCGTTCGTGGTGAACTCCCTTTCATTCTTTTTACAATTCGTTTTCTTTCAATTTTCTTTCCTTGTTATTTTCTTTCTTCAGGATTTTAGTTACTTTTCCTTTTTCTCTTTTTCCTTCGTCTTTATTTCACGTTCATTTTTCTTTCTCTCCTTCATTTTATAATGGTTTCCTGTGTTTTTTAAGAATTAAATTTACGTATTTGTTAGTATTTTCGTTCATTGTATGGAATTCATATTACATTATCAAAATATTTGTTTATTCCTCCCTCTTTCCTTCCTTTCTTTCGTTTCAATTTGTTTTTTGAAAGTTCTTTTCCTTCTTCAACGTCATTCTTTCGACTTCAGTTCTTCTTTCCTTTTTTCCTTCCATTTTATCCTTCTTCTCTAAATCTCCACTTATTGTGCAGAACTTTTTCCTTCGATTTTAAAAAAAAATCCTTTGTTTTACATTCCTTCCTGCTATTTCATAACCGAGCGTTACCGCCGTCTGTCTATCTATCTATCTATCTATCTATCTATATATATATATATATATATATATATATATATATATATATATATATATATCCTCACACATTATGAAATGGAAAAATGCCGACAATAATTTTAAGACATTTTATGTTTATACATTCTTTTATAGAAACAAGTATTTAAGTAAATGCTCTGTTTATAATGAACAGTATTAAACAACATTTACCGGCCTGAATGTCCGAAAAATTTTCATAGAAAATATTCGTCCTCCAACAGGAATATTTTCTATGAAGATATATATATATATACGCATACACACACATCTCGGTCTGTTCATATATATCTCACTTTCTGTCGCTGTCTGTCTGTCTGTCTGTCTCTCTCTCTCTCTATATATATATATATATATATATATATATATATATATATATATACACACACACACACAGACATATCTCGGTCTGTTGATATTTATCTATCTCAGTCTGTTGATATCAATTTCAGTTTCTGAGCTATCTATCTATCTATCTATGTAAGTCTGTTGATATCTATTTCACTTTGTCATCTGTCTCTTTCTCTCTTTCTCTCCCTCTCTCTCTCTCTCTATATATATATATATATATATATATATATATATATATATGAAGAAATTTTGAAAAAACAAACAAAAATCCTTAATCCGTCTTATAAGAATTTTAGAACCTAATAGAATTCTTTTCATTTTCTTTTTCATTTCAAAATAATCACAAACTTTTAGGAATACGTTATGAAAGCGTCGCCCATGTGACGACGGCGTGACCATGTTAGACGGAAGGCTGATCATTTTAAAATTTTCAGTTATCTGTTCTGAATAAGACTTGTGTTTTTATGTCCATCGTATTTGTCATATTGAACTGAATTGTATTTTGATGAATATTGTCTTGAAAAAGGTTTATTAAACTGAAACGTCAGACGTCGACATTTCTTTCATTTTAACTACATTTAAGGATTTTTGTTTGTTTTTTCAAAATTTCTTCATTCTGTCGGATTTATATCCATTTACACTTGCTTATATATATATATATATACACACAACACGATCTGTTCATATCTCACTTTCTGTTTGTTTCTCTCTCTCTGTCTCTCTCTCTGTCACTCTGTCTGTCTCTCTCTCTCTCTATATATATATATATATATATAGATATATATATATCTGTCTCTTCATATTTCTAGATATCTATTTCACTTTGTGATCTATCGCTTTCTTTCCTTCTCTCTCTCTCTCGCTCTCTCTATCTATCTAGATATCTATTTCACTTTGTGATCTCTTTCTTTCCTTCTCTCTCTCTCTCTCTCTCTCTCTCTATCTATCTATCTATCTATCTATCTATCTATTTTCCCTCTAAAGAAAACTATAAAATATTTATATATCTCCGACACTTTTTACGTAAGTCTGAATAATCTTTACTCCTCTTCCCATAAAATATCTTCCAGCAGAATTGATCTTTGAAGTTTGAAGTATTGTTGTATACCCTTTGGCGGGTACGCTCACACGCACACACGCACACACACACACATACAAACACAAACGCACACACATACAAACACACACACATACACACGTGTGTGTGTGTATGTATGCATAAGGAAGAAGAATATAGTAAAACCCCTACCCACTGATACTCCCAGGCATAAAATACTGAAAATATTTAAAACAAAATGTTAAAAAACTATATCTGAGTGAAGGCTGAATGTGTAACAAAAAGGGGGAAAAAGAGAACATGTCTTCCATTTTCTCAGTTCCGACTCTCATTGATGATATTCGGGTGATTAGAAATTTGAAATTCGGATATTCTTGCGAAAAGAATCGGATTTTCTTTGATGTCTGTTACTGCTTTAACAATAGCAAAGAAGTGGTTCGACCAATTACAATAACATATATATATATATATATATATATATATATATATATATATATATACCGGGTGTAACAGCAAAATTGTCGAAATCAGTTAACAGCATAATTGTCCAACCCACAAAATATTTAATATCTAAAACACCACTAAACTAATTGAGTTTCTTTTTTTCAAGGTTTTCAGATATGACATTAAAGCACCTTGGCACCATTTGCCGTGGGATTCACTGAAAAATTCTAAGAGTTATTCAGCTAGAAAGAGAACAGGTTAAAATCGTTTTGTGTCAGCATCACTCTCTCCTCAACTGAGCAATGTTGAGAGGAAAAAGATTATCCAGGCCTTTAGTATAATAATCTATAAAACAGACGTACACACTTTTCTGCATTTGTATTGCTCTTTCTGATATCATTCTGAGCATAACGACTGCGTTCTTTGTTGCAGTTTATTTAACAAACCATTTTCTGTTTAACAAAACTTGTTCCGGTTTATTTAACAAACATGCACTGTTCTTGCCCTATTTCCGGTCTTATTTTGCTGCGCGATCTATTCATCAGAATTCGATATGGTTTCTTCTATGATGGAGTTCACATTAGTTTGCACTTACTTTCTTCGGCAGTGCTATGACATTAGATCTATTTAGATCTTAATCAATATACAACATCGAATAACCTACATAATGGGCCTGTGTAAATAGATATAGGACAGGGATTCAGAAGGACAGTGGAAATAAATCAATTTTATTCCACAATGGTGAAGTCTCGATTAAAAAATAAAAAAAGGACGACTTCGATGTACCACGGGGTTCGTTTGATAGTGCTGAGGTTTCAGAATTAATAAGCCTTCACATTTTATATGAAATCAACAAAATTGTACACATAAACAACCACAGCCTGTATAGGGATGACAGACTGATTATAGTGCCAGACAACAGAAGAACAAATGACAATGTAAGAAAAGCGCTTTTTAAACGCTTCAGAGACCTCGACTTTGAAATATAAGTCAATATAAATAAGAATATTGTCAAATATTTGGATGTAGAATTAAATTACAAGCTGGTAGATTCTCCCCATACATGAAACACTGCACAAAATTAAAATACATGAATGTTAGAGCAAACCACCCTGTGAGCATAATGAAGCAAATCCCCAACACAATAGAGTTCAGGTTATTTAGAAATTCCTTTAGTAAAATAATTTTCAAAGATAAAAAGAAAGAATGTGAAAGGAATTTAAAAGAAGAGGGGCATAAAACCAAACTGAAATTTAAACCTCAAATAAAACAACAAATGAAAAAATTAAGGAAAAGAAAAATATATTATTTGGTTTAACCTCCCTTATATATATATATATATATATATATATATATATATATATATATATATATATTAATTAGGAGATCAGCTAATCTTTCTACCTTGATTTCAACCCTTCAGTATCTTCAGCTGATTTCGGTCAATTGATTTATTAACGCTTTAGTTTTTAAAAATAAAAATTTATGCATGCTATATTTTTTTTTAATTTCAGAGTTAATAGGCCTACATATTTTATATGAATCCAACAAAATTGTACATATAAACAACCGTGGCCTATATAGTGATGATGGAATAATTATAGTGCCAGACAACAGAAGAACAAAGGACTATATAAGAAAAGTGCTTTTCAAACGCATCAAAGACCTCGACTTTGAAACAGAAATCGATATGAATAAGAAAATTGTCAAATATTTGAATGTAGAATTAAATCTATAAATTGGCAGTGTTTCCCTATACATTTCACATTCAACAAATGGGCCTTCACGATATCTTTTAACGGATTTAAATTCGTTATTGGCTTTTGTTAAATGTTTGGAACACTTTTTTAATACTACTGTTCCTTGGTGTAATCCAACTCAGGCCATTAAATTCATTATATATATATATATATATATATATATATATATATATATATATATATATATATATTGCATTTAGGCAGCAATCCTTCATTTATGCATGTTTCCTTAAATTTGAGGGAAATCATGGAAAATTGTAGTTTAAAACTGTAAAATCGACTTTGTTAACCAGACGCCCCTCTGTAGTTAAAATTGTATAGGAAGTCAGGTTTTATGACGGTTCCGTGTAGGATACAGGTTCGATTCCTGTTGTGGGACACATATTTTCTATGACGTTCAGGCCGGTGAATGTTGTTAAACCTGTTTATTATATACAGAGCATTTACTTAAATATTTTTGCCTGTATAAATAACGTATAACATTAAAATATATATATATATATATATATATATATATATATATGAACATATTTATATTTATATAAATTCAAGCATTCTTTCTAACATGTTTTGTTAAATATGACAGACAAGGAAAATGTCATTCATTTTTTTACTTAGTTTTTGCAGCATTCTTACATAATTTAACCATATATATATATATATATATATATATATATATATATATATATATAAAAAAGTCATTGAAAACTCTACTGGAGTCTTTAAGAATATTTTTTACGGTGACTTTACCGGTTTAACAGTTTTATGATTTTCAAAAGTTAAACTGAGATGGAGAGACATGTGGATATGCCATGATATATGCTGACACAAACTTTTGGGAAATATACATTTCAATTTGCATGCACATGTTAATTCATTTGAATGTTTCATTTATAACAAGAGTATGGATTTCAAATGTGCAATTCGTTTGACAAATAAAAGTATTTAATGCAATTAACAGCCTTATCAGTGTTTTAATTTCAATTGGATGTTCGACAGTCTGACACGTGCTTACTTTCAAGTTGGTTGCCCCAATGAAATAACAGTAAAAACCTTGTTTTTCCTCTTTTAATTAAGGCGTTTTTGTTTATTTTACTGTTCAGAGTTCTTTTGTTTTTAGATTAATATAAACTAATTTTTACAAGATCAGGATAAATGTTTGTTTACTGAAAACTTTTACAAATACAATTCTGGCATTTCTTTCCAAAAACTTTGTATTCAAAATAATCTTGCGTCTTATACACTTGCGACCCATATTAATTTTTAATCATTTAGCTCAGGTTCCAGTCCCTCGATCCCCAATTCAGTTGCACAAGCTCGTCAGGTAGTTGACTCGCTGCCTTCACCTATCTTTTAACGGATTTAAAATTAAACTGAAAAAATGTAAATATTGCTTAAAGTTAATATAATAATTTAATAATATTCGCAGTTATTCTCTTTCTCCCCAATTATTTTACTATAGAAAGGCATCGCCATTTATTGTATTATAGGTAAAGCATTGTACATGATTTTACTATAGGAAAGAATTATACATGATTTTAATATAGAACAGCGTTGCAAATGAATTTAATAAAGGTAAGGATTGTTAATAATTTTAGTATAGAAAAGGATTATGATTGATTTTATTATAAGAAAAACATTGTAAATAACTTTATTAGAGACGAATTGCAAATGGTTTTATTACAGAAATCATGATTTTATAATAGGAAAGGTATGTGAAAGATTTTAGTATACAGAACGTGGTAAATGATTTTATGATAGGGAAGGATTGCAAATGATTTTAATATAGGAAAGGATTGTAAATTATTTCATTATAGAAGGTCTTGTAAATGATTTTAATATAGGAAAGCATTGCAAATGATTTTATTATAGGGAAAAGCATTGCAAATGATTTTACTACAGGAAAGAATTGCAAATGATTTTATTATAGGAAAGTATTTCAAAATATTTTACAATAGGAAAGCATTGCAAATGATTTTATCATAGGAAAAGCATTGCAAATGATTTTACTATAGGAAAGTATTTCAAATGATTTTACTACAGGAAAGAATTGCAAATGATTTTATTATAGGAAAGTATTTCAAAATATTTTACTATAGGAAAGCATTGCAAATGATTTTATCATAGGAAAAGCATTGCAAATAATTTTACTATAGGAAAGTATTTCAAATGATTTTACTACAGGAAAGAATTGCAAATGATTTTATTATAGGAAAGGATTGTGAATGATTTTAGTGTAGGAAAGGTTTACTATAGGAAAGCATTGTAAATTATTTGATTATAGTAAAAAGATTGTAGATGATTTTACAATAGGAAAGCATTGCAAAGCACTTTACTAATATCAGGGTATAGTAACTTATTTTCTATCAGGAAAATTACAAATTAATTTAATATGGAACTTGCAAATTATTTTAATGGAACGTATTTTGAAATTATTTTACAAAAAAAGTATTGTAAATTATTTTGCTGTAGGGAAAAGCATTACAAATGATTTTACTATAGAGAAAATAGATATAGATTCATGATGTATTTCATATTTTACTTGGTATTGTATTAACATGTCTTTTTTTTCTTTGTAAACTAAATATATATAATTTTAAAATACAAATATGTGCTATCAGATCATACAAAATTATTAATCTTTAATTGTCAGTATAAAACGCAACTACGCTAAACTTATGGAATGTATAATGGCACTCCAACTGCATTTATTCCTCTTGGCTTTTGTGAATTAATTCGAACACTGACTTTAGATTAATATA